ATATATTTATATTCTAAAGTTATTAGCTAAAGGAAATATAGCAACTTCATTTTTAAAGCTAATATAAAATAATTAGTCTCATATTTCAATTTACATTAAGAACTATTGGTTTTAAAGGTTAAACATTGTTAAAATTATGGTATATGTTATTTCAATTTTAAAACAGAAATGCAATATGGATATGTAATTGCTGTTTAATTTTAGAGTATCTTAATTATATCATTAGCTTTTTAAGCTTTAATTTGATAATTTAATAAGGTTGATTTAAACTTCTGAAAGTATAAATGAGATTTGCATCTAAAATCCACAGAGAAATCACTCTAAGATTCTATCGTTTTGAACTTTGAGAGAGGTCTAAACCTTTACTTAATTCAATTTGCTCTTTTACAAAGTATAATAATCAAAGGACCTTTCTTGGATTATCAGAAATAATATAGAAACCAATTAGACTAACGACAAGGGACTGAATAGACTAATAAGAATTAAATGTGAACTTCTAGAGGAAATTTAACAGAAAAATACTATTTAGGTTAAATTGAATGAGAAGTACAACTTGCTAAACTCTAAGAAAAAACACAGAATTTGTCTCATGATTTAAGGACGTTCAATTTTAAACTTAGAACCTGTAAATTAATTCGGAATTATTAATTAAATTGTTCCATGTGTTCATGAATCTGATTCTCTTTATAATTATGAAATAAATGATATTTCCATATTTGAAGGAGAAATTTAATTTTTTTCATTTAATAACTCGAATCAAGGAGTTTGTTGACCTTAAATGCTTAAATCCATAATTCACAGGTGTAATTTCTAGCTATTAATTATTCTTCACCTACCTTCAACCAGCCACAAATTATTTTTATTCTTTAGCCTACTGATCTTATCTCCCTATTATTTGTTTAATAGAATAGTTATTAATTGAAATACTGGATTTTAAAAGTTAAAGCATTCGCTAAAGTTAGACAATTCTCATCTACATAAGTCATATTTGGTTGATAGACTTGTTAAGAGATACTTTAATTCTACATTGCCTCTAATTTTTTTAATAATTCTTAGCATTCATTTTTTGGAAGGAGTTGCTTTTTTATATGAAATTTTTAATACATATATTCATTTTAGAAGAAAACATTCTTACAAATATTTAAATTTAATTTGTAATCCGCAATATTAAAAAAAAATCAAATTTAAGAAATTCTAGAATTTGTTTTTGAAAAATTCATAAATTCCTCTATTTTTACACTCCATTAATATTATTATATTCTATAATTTAGTAATAAAAGTCATTTTTCATTTGATGATATCTCTAATTAATTTATGATGAATTTTTTCATAAATTTAATCTCAAAACTTATATTTTCTATTTCTCCAATTGAGATAATAATTTTCTATTAATGATAATATATCAATTTTATTAGAATTAAAAGTTTAGTTAATATTTATAGAAAATTGAGGATACATAAAAATCTTTAAAAAAATGGTTTGCCTCAAGGTGGAATATTATCTCAAATTATATTATCTTCTATTTACAAAAAGAGTTATATAGATATTGTATTGTTCCTTTGTAATCATTAATTATTTATGAATTCCCTTGTTAGAGAACACATTTCGGTTGGAATATCCGATTTATTTAATGAAATAATTAAATGGTAATTTATTTGGCCTCACCTACAGCTAATGTAAATCTGACTGTCTATTTAGCCTAGCGTATGTTAATCGTTTTCTTATGCAGATTTTGGTCACAAGAACTGTTTTCTTAATTGCAAATTAAATCTCTTCAATACAATTGTGAGACGTGTAGACTCAAAATAAAGATGTTAATTAGTTATTAGATATCGTGTTGATTGGTTAAGCTCTTTGTATATTTTTAAGGATAATCTATTAGAGTTTAAGTTATAAAATGTAGAAATATCACTCATCTAATTCTTAATAAGGTTCTGTGTTCAAATTAGATAGTCATTTCCAATAAGAATGAGACAAAATTCACGATATCCTAATCTAAATAGGTTCAAATATGATGAAACTAATCAAAAAAATACTGTATTAAGGAGGATTATATTTCCCCCTTTAATATCTGGTGGTGGATTTTACCTTTGTAATAAATTTTATACTTTAGTAGATATAAAAATATTTTAAACAATTTAATATTATTATTTTAATATACAGTGCATGTTTACTTATATTAAGAAATATTTTTAGTTTGATTATTTGGTATGCAAATGTAATGATAATTTTCGCTTTGAAGAATCATCAGACAGAAAAACACTATCAAATGTTTTAATAAGACAATTATAAACAATTTTTTCAACAACTCTTACGTCATATTATTGATTAATCTGGTTTTTGATTTTAACGCAATCCACTTTTGAGTAGAAAAAGGAATGCAGATCCAAATTAAACTTTGTTTACTTTTTCAATTTTTTCTTGATTTGAATTGATATCAAATAATGAAAAACTAAGAAAGATTTTCTGATCATATGTTTGTTCATTTTATCCCTACAAATTAAATTGAATATCAATTTCCAAATTTTATGATTGAAATGCTAAAGAATTTAAACAAGATTTTATCCCTTTTTTTAGATTGTATATTTAATTAATTAGAAATTTAAGAAATTAATTTATTATCACAAAAATGGTTCAAATTGAAATTCCATTTTATGTCATAATAAAGTTTATGGCGAAACTCGGAATTTAAACATAATATTATCAACTCCAATTCTATTGATTCAAATAGTTATTAGATTTAGTATTTCTCTTTGATGGTAAATAAAGAAAGCATAGTCATAATTATTTTATAATGATGTAAGTATATTCTTTTAAACTTCCAACACAAAAAAGTTAGAAAAAATAGAAAAAATACAATATGAAAGTAAAAAAGTCAAGAATCCATTAAATTTATTGGGCTTATAATATGAATTTAGATTTGCCTCAAGAATTACGATAGTAATAAATCTTAATAATTGATGTCTATCTGAAAAAGAATGAACTAATTCATGCCATTTTTAGAAACTCCTGATTTTATAAGCCTAAAATTTTTTGGTGAGTATTTCTTCTACATCCAAAGTATTTTATTAATACATGGGATTGAACTAAGTGGTATATTTGGAACTTGTTAATATTTTTTATCAATATTGAATATTTATTCTTATTAATTGTTTGTTCGTTCCCTTGGAAATTTCAATTGTATTCATTATGGGACTTATACCCTTCAAGGATTATCAATCAATTTTAAATGTACCGTTATTTACTTGGCTTTAATCGAACAGTAATCTTCAAAAGTAATTCATATTTTAAATTTATGTAAATTAAGTACAACTCATACTTTTTTGAACTATTTTGATTTTTATTTATGTACATCTTTCATAAACAATTTTCGCTCTAATTCTCTTCTGATCGATAAATTCGGTTCTAATTAAAATTTAATATCATTTATTACTTACTTAAATATTTTATTAATCACTTTTATAAAATGTATTTCTACAGCAACTAATGAATTGCATTGAGCATGATGCTGTATTTAAAAATGATTCCAAAGACTTTTTGAAATAACTATGTTTAATAATATATTTTGGAAATTAATTTGAGATATCGGCTTAGAATCAGTGTCCATTTTCGCCTTTTCCATATATTAATAAATTCATAAAATTTTTTACCTTATTTTACAATTATCATTTTTATTAGACAAGAAGAATTCTATCTTATTATTATAAAGTGAATGTTTTCATATTCTTTATGTGTCATAGTTTTAGTAAGTAAATAGGAGTAAGAGTATATAATTCGTGTGTAAAAATCACCAGATTTAATATTTATGCCCATATACATAATTAATGCAATATTAAATTTATTATTAAAATTACCTAAATTAGTTTTAATATTTTGAAGGTTTATAATTAAGTAATTTAATACAATGATCCTTAAAATTTTAACTCTGTGTAATAAACCGATATGACTAATCATAATTAACTTATATTCAGGGTTTATTTGAATACTTTCACTTAATGAATTTATATTAACTTCCCTAAATCTCTAAAGAAAAAGTTATCTCGAAAATATTATTTTGAGATGTTGATTTTAATAAATATTAATGAAATCTTCCTCAGGGTATTAGATGAACATCAAAGAAATTTAATTTAGAAAGTTTTTCATTTTCTAAAATTAGATCAATAATGATTTCTTAAGTTGATATTTGATATTGCTATTTTTAGTTTTAAATTTACACTAGATTTATTTAAATTATGGTCTAAATCTAGCGGATGAAAAAACATATGTTAGTATGGTAATTTCACCTGCAATTCCTATTATCATTCTAATTAAAATTAATAATATTGTTTTTTTCAAACTCCATACTGATTAAAAGATAAGACAATGTTTTTGGAAAGATTATAATGGATTTACTAAACTTAAATCGGCTCATATTGCAGAATATGAGCTAAATTTACTGCTCTTATTCAAAAAGTTCAATTGAAAATAAATATATTTTAATTAGTATTATTACAATAGTAAAATATATTCAAATCTAATTGAAGAAGATTTTATGAATCTATTGATCAAATGAATTGATTTACACTGCTTTGATGAAAAGATATGGTGACAACGATGAAGAAATGGGATCAGAATGTATCAAATTCAGAAAATAATAATGCTAGAATTTGAACAATTTATATCAGAGTAATCACAACAATCTATTAATGATGTCATTTAGAAATGTTAAAAGTTTGTGTCAAATCCTTTTAAAAATAATAGTTTTTGACCGCAGTATAGTGCATTTTATAACAATCATACATAGAATCAGAAAAAACTCCATTATTGAATTATTATAATAAACAGGATGCTCCATAACTGAACTCAAAGTGCAAATGTAATTTCTAGCAAAATAGGTAAAAACCTTTTTGACTATAAAATTCATAAATCAGATGAGAGTAAAGAAATGTTCTATAGTTTTAGGATTTTGAAAATTTGTAATTGAAAATAATTGAAATTTAGTTAATTTAAATAATGCTATCTCATTTTTTAATTTGTATTTGATAAAAAGTTTCCACTCTTGAATATATATTTTTTCGAAGTTAGAAATTTTCCTTTTATAGTTCATTTGCTTTATTTTATGATTGCTGCTCTTCATCAGATGAAAGTTTACGTATTCTTTTTTCAAGTATTTTTGTAATTTTACTTTTAATTAAATTGATAAAATCGTAAAGCTCGAAAAACAGATATGAAATTAGAACACTTACTAAAAGAAATATTTAAATCCAACTCACTATAATTATAAAGTTATATTCAAAGTATCGTTACAAAATATCCCAATTTAAGATTGTAGATGCAGTAAATAATGTTAGGGATGCTTCCATTATTATATTTTTGATTTAAATCTCAAATTCTTCAGTAGCCTTCGTGTTAATTACATACATTAAATAGAATCCATTGATTAAAGTCATAAGCAAAGTTTAAAGTATCTACTCGCACTGGCAAAATACAAGGACTAATATAATTAAAATCTTTTTTATTAAAAGAAAAAAGGCTTATTTTTCAAACCAATATTGGTCTAAATTTTATCTTTTCCAAGTAATTAATCCAGTCATTTAATATAAGATTAAAACGAAAATTACGATAATTATTATAAAAGTAATAGTTAGACGAACATAAGTTCTAGAAGAAGAAAAATCATGGTTGGAGGATATTTCAAGCATTGCCATAAAAATAAGATCCCAACTACAAGCTAGCAAAGTATTATGGATAAATCTTCTGTCACATTTCTTAATCAATTTATTGAGTTTTCTTTTCTATCTTTGTAAAAAACGAACAAACCTTGGGAAGCCTTATAATAGTGAACTCATCTCCAAGATTGAAATAACTCTCACAAATAATAAACTACTCATATAAAAAAAAAGTAACGTGAGGAATACTATAATTTCACTTCTAAATCCTTCCGTTATATCTGCATTGACTTAGTAAAATTTAAATTTTTCATATGATTCTATATAGGGAAATGAAAGTAAAGAAGTATTCTGACTTAAATCTCCGATGCTATCTAACAAGGATTACATTGATATCAATTCGGATGATTGGAAGTAAATAATCAAAGTTTAAGGATATAAAACATTGATAAACTTAAGATATGATTACTACTAAAGGGCATCCAGCATTCCCCATAATGAAAGTGCATTTCCTAAAAGAATTAAAATAATTGATAAAGCATATATAGATAGAAAAGATACTTTACTAACAAATTATATTGCCTGAGCTATTTAAACCTATTAATCTGTTAAATAATTCGGTTAATTTAATTGCAAATAATCCACCATATTTACTAGAGGGGCTAGATTATCATTGTATAATTATTATGTTAATTTGACTGTTAATATTGGCTACTTTATTAAATTAGTAAAGATCTCAATTTATAGAGTGTATTCTACTTATGATGAAACTTAATACTAAGCAGCTTGAACTTCCATTAAGGTAATATTATAATAAGTTTGATTCAAATCAATGATTGAGAGTTCTATGGCATTTTTAAAATTTATATCTGAAAGTAATTAAACATCCTTAGAGAATTTAATCCTAGCATATTAGTACTAATTTTTCTGCTGGATAAATTCACAAATAAGCTAAGGATACTTAATAAATGTGCAATCAGTGTCTTAATTGCAGATCCAATCAATTTCCACTTAACATTTTTTAGAGCATCCATCCCCACTATCTAGATTTCCATCATCACACTCTTCTTCATTTTACAATATGCCATCTCCACATACATTTGAGCATTAATTTTCATTTAGTTGAAATCCAACATTACAATTGTTGCAAGTACCATCGATACATTCATAACAATTCAGAGGGCATGAAAATTTGCATAGATAACATCCATCATATTCTGAAGTATTATTATCATCACATTATTCATTGCCTGCTATGATGGAATCCCCACAAATTGTAGAACAGGAATTATTCATAAAATAAAATCCTTTCAAACATAAATCTAGACAGATTCCTTTCTCGCAGTTATTGCATCCTATTGGACAAGAATAACGGCAATCAAAACAACCATCAAATTCGATATCATTACCGTCATCACAATCTTCAGAGTCTTAAACTACAAGATCTCCACAAGTACCGATGCATTAGTTATCAAGTAATTTTAAATTGTTCTTACATGAATAACAAATGGTATTTATACATTCCTAACAATTTAGATCACAAACACATTCCTCAAGAGCGTACTATGCTATTTAATCTCCACAAATATTCTGACACTAACCTAAAATTAAAATCTATCCAATTTCACATTTATAACAAATATTGTCAACACAAATCTAACATTAAGGCTAACATAAATTTCTTTTCTCAACTTAAAAACAATAATTTTCTTCCAAAAAATAGTCATTCTCACATACTTAGCAGATGCCTGAATTACATTATAAACAATGATCAATGCATTACAAATAACACCTATTGCAATGTGATGATAAATAGGAATACTGGCATAATTCCTATTAAGGGGCAATTTGATCTTTACAAATTGACTCACATTTGCTAGTAAATTAATTAAAAATAAAACCATTTTAACATACAATACAGATTTCTAATAAAGAAACTTCACAATTATCAATTGAAGGAAAGCTTTAAGGTTAAGTATATTCTTCTTGAACAGTTATAATAGATAATTGCTAATAAATTTGTTTTTCGCACTTAAATTCATATTCTAAATAAGTCCAACCCTTAAAACAACCAAGACAGATCATATTTTAACAGACGGAACATCCATCCACACATTAAAACATACAGCCAAAGCAACCATCAAATGGAGATAAATTGCCGTCATCACATTCTTCTTCCTATTCAACAACATTGTTACCACATTTTGCTCTTTCTAAATTAATAGTTTTTTATACTTATTAAAATTTAAATGTCTCTTACTCCGAAGGACTCATTAGAATATGATTCATCCAAGTTATTTGTAATGAAAATTTCTGGAGTTTTTTCATAATGAGGAAATGTCATATCTATATTAATAAATACATCTTAGTAATCAATGCCACAGATTCCATATAAATAATTAGGCAATGAGGTTAGTGCTGATTCCCATATTAGAACCCCATCAACCGTTGTTTTAAAATGATCTGTCCATTCCCAACTGCCATTCCTGAGGTACTTTAGTTTTATTTTCATTTATGTATGAAGTGGCAAGTTCGATAAAATCAAATTCAAACTAGTACCTTTACCACATTTTCCTTTTCCACAAATAGTAGGAATATCTAATATTAAATATCAATCTCTTACTCAAACATTTTTATTTATCATTATCTCCACCTGTAACAATCCATCCATCCGTAACAAAGTCTAAAAAATTAAATTCTGTATAGGAGGAATGAGCTAACATCCATGTGTTACAATCAACGTCCGTATCTTGACTAGTACAAGCAAGGCATTCTGGAGGACATAGGAAAAGATAGAGTTTGAAATTCTTAAAGCCCCAAGATTCCTTTATTTATGAATAATCATACATCCCTAGCGTCACCATTCAATGTACTAGTTAAGTAGATGAAGGTTGTCAATCCTGTATGATCTAACTCCATTGATATTTAATGAATTGAATCGTTTCTATTTACCTGTCCACATATATTTTCTGTGCCAGTTAGACCTGAATATTTAACATTGTACGCTAGCAGTTGATCTACATATACTTAGAAGAATTCATTGGAATCCCATGTGTCGATTCTAGGTTAGGTATAAGAGCTTACATATAAAGGGTTAGAGAAATTTTCATTCTATAATGAGGAGGTAATTGTAATAATTTTGTAGCAGCTTGCTTATGTGCAAATTTATCATAGCCTCCTATAATTTTTGCTGAGCCACACTTAGTTATTTTTGTGACAGAAGAGTCAATGTTTTGGAAATTCCAATCTAAACTCAAAATATATATTTACCATCAATGCCAGTTAGATTAGTATCGCTAAAGGCTGAATAAACGAGGGTTTAAGAGCTAGTTATACTTAAGATGATAAAAATCAATAGCATTTATTTATAAGAAAGACTTAAGTAAAAGATGTCTTAATTAATGTAGATTATAACATATTTTTTAATCAAGGAATTTTGTTTTGTTGAAAGTGCATTCAAATAGATTTTTTGTTAAAATGCGTATATAATAAATTTTATGGAAAAAAGACTAAAATTTAATTGATTTATAATACCAATTTATTAGCCACCAACAATTGAAATATTGAATTCCAATTTGACAACATGACTTTATGAAAGTCAGCAACTTAAGTTACTTAATCAACGTGTTGGTAGTTATAATTGTGAATTTGTTTGTAATAGAAGAAAATAAATGAAAATGAAAATACAATTATGAGTGATATCAGTAAACTGAACAGTCACATATAAGAGCTAATAAAATACAATATCTCATTATTGATCATTCTTATTACTCTAAAAGCTTGCGTTTTATTATGCTTAATTTTCATATCTATTAATTCAATATTGAACCAGTCAGCTCATAATAATTATGCTATTCTCTTCATTGATGGTGAAATAATTACAATTTTTGTTTAAAAATCCTATGGTTAACTAAGAATGAATATAAGCTTCTAAATAAATTAAATAACCTGTTAATTTTCATTAAGTTTTTATTATAAAAGTTTAGAACTAATATTTGAAATATCTTCTAAATAAATTATTTAGGAAAATTGACAAAAACAATATTAATGAAATTCACATTTTTTTTGGGATCTTATACCAATAGTGTCCATATTTAAGCTTTTATTTTTCATAGTTTTTGTTAATGTTTGTAGTATTCAAATATAATAATATTTAAATCAAATTAAAATTCTTTTGAGATTTTTTTCAAAGACCCTGATTAAATTTGAATCAAAAATTGAATTAAATTATAAAGATTAAAATATATTACGAATAAATATTAAAACTAATTTTATATACGTAAGCTTATAATGATTTCTCAATAAAACTTTCCTAACAATAGTGTCTAATTAGTCTGAATTAAAAAAAACAATTTAGTTTAAACAATTCATCAACAATTCTGGGAGAAAAACAAAATTAAGACTAATTGATATTAAATTCATCTTAAATAAATTAAAAATCAAATTTTATAAAATGATTTCTTTAAAGAAGGTAGCACTCACCATAAGTAATAGATTTTTAATTCATAGGTGTTAAGAACTAATAAATAAATATTGATTTAATCAATGTTTTTAATATTATTTTCTTATGAGGCAACAAAAAAAGAAATTAAGGAAAAATATGAAATATTAATGTATAATTAGGTGAGTTAGCATAAGGCCATTCAACTTTTTTAACCATCAAACTTTGTTATGGTATGTTAAGAGCTAGGTTTATTGCTATAATTTAATTGAATTAATAAAACGATTAAAGCAGCATTATGACAAGAGACATTTTGTGCTTATACTAGATAATAATCCAATTAATAAATCAAAAGAGTTGTAAACTTACTGAGTGCAGTTTAATATTTATACTTGCCACCCTAATCCCCTTAACTTAATCCTATTGAGAACTTATGGAATACCTTTAAACAATACATAAGAAGAATTCACAAATATCCAGTATGAGTCTGCATAAAATGGATCGTTCTTACTTCAATTGCATTACCAATGATTAATTAAACAATTAATATTGGTTAGTGTTAACATCTTTCAAGAAATCATTGGATTAAATTGAATTTGACTTTTATTAGGGTAAAGTTACTCTAAATTTGCTTTATATTGTTTTGCTTTTTACCCAGAAAGGCCAATGAATCTTTCAAATAAAATTTTTATATACTTTTTCCTTTATCCCTTAAACTAAAGCACCAGTGATCTATTACATAGGAGGTTGAAAACGCATTTATAAAACTTTTCTGTAAAAAGATTTTAGATAGAGTTAGATATTCTTGCGTTACAAACATGATTAGGATAGTAAAAGATGAATTTAATTGATATGCCAAATAGGATCAAAATATCAATATGTGAGAATCCACCTTGAATTGGAGAATTAGTCTCATTATATAAATGGAAAAGGACCCTGCAGTCAAATTAGCTAGAATCTAACTCTTAATTTATGAGGAAATACGCTACTATCCACTATATGTGCTCTAAGTTCTTTTTACTTAAAACAAAAAGTAGAGCAATTATTTCTAGTGGTTTTAATTTGAATACTTAGTGTAATTTCGATTCTTATTTTTGGTTTGAATTTGATAGTTAGACTCTCAAACTTTTGATTTTAAATTATTGCTGTTACTATTTTTATGAAATTGGTAATCAAAAACTATGCTTGGTATGATGAAATATAAAATAACAAACCATAAAAATAAGCTTAAAATTTATGGTATAAGACCCTCCTCCTAAGATATAAAGTTTTAGATCGAGATTTTAATTTAATAGTCCAAATTTTACTTTAGGTTAAAAGTAAGCATATTGTAATTTGGACTATTGACAGTCTTTTTTCGAATTAAGAATATTAGATGTATTAGTCTTGTGTCAATTACCACCTCTTAAATTTATTTTCTCAACATATAGGTTACCTTTTTGAGACATTAACCATTTTCTTTATCAGCTATAAAAAGTTGAAATCTTCAAAATTAAGGGTAAAAAAAAATAATTTATCATTCCATAAATGCTTATAAAGGGTATTCGGTATTAGAGTGTTTTTGGAAATAGCAATTGCTTGTCGGATTTGTCTAGTTTATGAAATATCTCCTCTACTTAGATTGTGTTATTGTTTTCCATATTTAAAAATAATTTCTGTTTTTTGTAAAGGAGTAATTATATTAAAGTTAAATATTTAAATCTTCAATAAATAAAATATACAACTAAGTTGATGTTTTCTGGAAGGCAATAATATATTAAACAAATAAATAGTACATGCTGTAGACCTCAATTCCAAACCCAAAAAGTCCACATCAATTCTTTTTTGGCTAAAAAGTAGATAACACAATTATTATCTGAACTTTTGCCAAATTTGCAGAGTAGCTTACCTGACTCAATTCTCCTGAAGATGTTTACAGATTTTAATATCGTTTCTAGGAACTGCTCCTAATTTTACTTCTATGTAATAAAGTATTTAAAATTGAATTGGAAAATATTGTTTGTAGCAACAATTATTGTTGCAGTAATCAATCACTAAAGAGCAAATTTGGTAATAAAAGGTTATACTGAAAGTACTACCTATTCCACATGTTATGTAATTCCATTTGCTTAAAATTTTAAATGTGGTTAGTGTTGCATACGATCAATTCAAAATTTGTCTTGCTTATTTAGTTGTCATAAAGGACAAATTCAAAAGGATATTTCTTTTTATATCATTCAACTATTGTATCTCTCATTTTGTCCTTTGAGAAGTTATCATGTTAATTTTCTTCTGAAATATAAAATCAATATGATTTATATAATAATCGCCCATGCTAGTCAATTAATAAGAATTTATTTTGATGTTTGCTAACCTTTCGCTAAAATGTTTGTCCTAATTTTAGTTATTCAATTATATCTACATAGAGATGAAATACAATTGGTTGTTTGATATCATTCAAGTTTTAAAATAAATATTCTAGGACAAAAGCAGTTTTTAGATCAAATTACTATGATTTTCAAAAGCTGAGAAAAATAAAAATTCTTACACAATATAAATAGAAAATTAAAAGCTACAGCTCCTGATTTTGCTGTGTCTAAGGCTCATAATACTCTTCCAATAAGTATCAGAATGTCATTTGCTTCTGTGGAATTAGTGAAAGAATGGAAGAAAAGATTCCTATAATTGTACATCTATTCCAAATTGCGTTTTAAGTCCAAATTCGATACATGTAGTTAACTTTCTTTTTTTATTCTTAGAATCTTTAGTGACTGCAACCAATTTAGATATAATCAAGCCCAATATTTTAATTTGATTTTCAATATTCCCATCACAGATATTTATCTTTTAATTCAGCATTCAAGGATTTTAAAATATTAGGACAGATTTGAATCTCCAAATAAAATCCAAAGATTTAGAAATAATATTTCAATGGAATAGTGATCCAGATTTATCTATTTAAGTCGCTTGCCTGTATTTAAAACAAGCAGCAAATGCTAAATGAATAAAAATAAATCATTAATGTTGAGTAGACTTCATCATTTAATTCATAAGGAGGAATTCTATTTCAACCTCCAAAGCCTGTAATAATTAAAAAAATTTCAATAACAAAGTTTTCTTTAATATTGTTTATATAGATTAATTATCCTTATATTCAACTAGAGCTCAATAAAGATATTTGATGAAAAATATTAATAATTNGAGAAAGGTCATTATTGATTTACTCAATTTAAACGTTGAATTTCTATTCTAGCGCAGATAATTATGGTAATAGTTAATTCATACTATTGTTTAAAAAATTCAACATGGCAAAAACCCAGTGTGTTAAGTTTACTAGGATATTTTGTAAAGTTGGATCTTAAAGATTTTTTGCTTATTAATGGATCTCGATCAGTGCACTAAGTGCTTATGAGGGGGAGAATTATTCCATACCACAAAAATTTTTTTTAATATTATTGTGTTATCAGTATTACTTATTTATTCTTTTATAATAAAAAGAAAACTTGCCAAGTATTTTTTCTTACAGCCTATTTTATCAAAAATAGATTAAGTATTCTTTAATTTCCTAGCGCGCTTTCATTTAATTTTGCCAACTCATAACTTTATAATTTCTTGAATGCTCAATAATGTTGATTCTATTAAGTACCATTCTTTTCCAATTAATATCCAATTTCAAAAACTCAATATTTATTCATGTCTCTCTATCATTAATGTTATTAATTGGCCCTTAACTACTTAGAAACTTTCAATATTAATAATATTAATAAAATTATTTTAAAGCAGAATTCAGTTTTCATGAAACTTTAGTTGATTGTTTTGACAGCTTAAAATTCATAAAATAAAGTTAAAATTTGGCTCTGCTTTATGCATAAAAATAACCGCAACCGTGTGAAACAAAACTGACAATTATGATAATAATTAATATAAAATAATGGGAATTATATTTATTTTATTAGTGTGCCTTCAAATTCACTTAAACTCTTCAAAACTGCCTTGCTAAGATTAATAATTTCAACCGTTTTTCAGTTGCTATTAACAAATTTCAAGTTGTTATTTTTTAGAAGGAGATGATGAAGACTATTCAAAAATTTAGCATATTGACAATTAAATTATAAAACCTTCATTTATAATTTCTTGTGAAGAGGACCCAATATTTATTAAAATAATTGACTCCTTGGATTAAAACAAAAAAATTCAGGAGAAATTGTTGTGTTCCCTATTTCGTAACCTTGAATATTTTATCGTTTGTACAAGTTTTGACTTAGTTTAAAATGAAGATTAAATCACCACAAATGAGAAGTTCAGATTTGGCACAAAAATTGCTAGCACAGAAAACTGTGATGAAATGGATATAAATGAAGATGGAGGTTTAAATTTATTTTGTTTAAGTTAATCTACTTTAAAATAGTATAGTTTAAATCTATCAAGCAGGAATACTACATTAATTTTAGAGATTGATTTTCAAGACCAATTATTAGATAATTGCAAATTAAAATATTATTAATGGAAATAAAATGTCTATATTGTCGTATTTTATCATTGTTCTAGCTGGAAAGTATTACTTTTCAATAAAAGTGAAATGAAAACTTTATTAGAGGCTTCCAAGAAAGACAAGATTATTTAAATTTAAACTTTATCCTTTATTAATGATGTAACCTTTTGTAAATCAATTGAAAAGATGTTATTCATCTATTTGATAGAAAATAATTTTTACCTTGAAATAAAAGTGAATGGTGAGCTTAAATATTTACTATTTCAGCATACAAAGCGCATACACAAATTATTACTCTAAACAAAATGCTCAATCACAGTTTTGGTGGATTCTTTAGAAGATATTAATTAAAATATAAGTCATTCTACAATTATTAGATAGATCAATTTAAATTTAACAAATCCAAATCATAATATCTACTTTAATTCTGATATTCTTTACCTATAATAAGAGTCTGAATTAACTGTGTTTTTGAATCTATATATTAATCAGACTTATCAAATAGGAAAGACTTAGTTACATTTTTTTTAATTTGATAACATATTCTGTTAATTCGATCAATCCAAAAACGGTTTATAATTTTATAGATATTATAAATTTAGTAGTTTAATTAAACCAAAAAAGAAGTACCTCTTCTTAGTTTTCAGCTGGAAGTTGTTTTAAAAAAATGCTGTGCAAAATTGCTTTAGACTATTGAAAAATAATGCTACAAAAGAAGAAAAATTAGTTAAGTTGATAACGTTGCACAAAATTTGTTAGAGTAACTTTTAAAGCATTATTTTCAAATCGGAACCTTAAACCTTATTTAAAAATAGTTCATTCACAATATCTAATAATAAGAGCAGCATAAATGTAAGTATAAGAATTAATAATAAATTTTTGGACTCTTGTCTATAAATGCCTAAACTATTTCATATTTAAGGCAATGTTGAATTTTTAAAAATAAATCTACCTGATTACATCGTTTTTCAAAATAAAACTAATTTTTACATTTTTAATTGCACTTAAAATAAAATATTAATTTCGGTTAACAGAGTTAAATTTGATGTACTTGAATCTGATGAAAACTATTATATAGTTGAGAAAAACAATAATAGTCATTTCTTGAGAATAATTTAATTAAATCCTAATTCAGAGTTCTAATTAAACATAAAATTTGATGAAGCAATTATAAGAGCAGAACAAATTGCTTAAAATGTATTTATCTACTTGAACAATTCAAATTAACTTCCAATAATATATTAAAATTATGTATCAGATTCATATAGAAAATATCTTTAAAAAAGTCTTTAATCCTCAGAACCTATTCTATTTTATTTTGAATCTCAAAATTTAAAGGTTATTTAATATCCAAATGTTATAGCTGTTGAAGATTCAGGATATGTAGCGTGTTTTAATTTTTTAGAAGATTAAATAATTTCAATTCAAATCTAATCAAGCATAAATAAAGACTGCTTAATAGTAGCAATACAAATTATCACAAGATCACTTACTCTTAATTATTTTAATGATCATTATATACATTAAATTTCAAATTATACTTTTTCTGATTATTAATTTTCATATCCTTTCGTGTACAAATTAAACTTTTAGCATTTAGCTATTTTAATGAAGCGAAATTAGGAATTTTATATAGCTCTATTTTAATTCAATATTTCCTTCTTGTATTTATAAGACATTATTGCAACTGATTCAACCTATTTTACATTTTCCTAAAGTAATCTATTGTATTCTAGTAATAAGTAGTGGATGTTTCGATTTACTAATTATTTTTAAATAGATATTGAGTCAGACGATAAATTTTCTACAGAGTTATCATAATTCTATTAAACAGATTTATATCCAGGTAAAAAAGAGTAATAAAGCATACAATTAAATATCTTAATTTACAACCTTTGCTATAAGTTATATCCTTTTAGGGATTTATTCAGATTTGAAATTCAATAAAATGAAATTTTAAAATTGAACATTTCTGATATTTTTCTTGGCCCAATTAATAGTTTGTCACTAGTAAGTAGTTCATCCTTAGTGTTGAATGGACCCTTTTAATTTATAAGAAAATTAGAATATTGCAGTCTAAACACTTCTAGTTTTTGTATTTAAAAGTACAATATTAAAAGTTAAACCTAAGAACATACGTTTAAAGCTATTATTATGAATAATTAAGTTTATGAAATTATTAACAATCATCCAAATGAGATGAATAATTATATTATCTTTATCAATTAGTCATATTATCTTTGGTTTTCATAATTTAGTTAAAATCTTTAAATTCAATTGATTTAATGTTCTGGATTAATTGATGAATATTGTAATGTCATATCCGATATTAATGAAAAACTTTAGATAAAATCGATTGTTGGGGAGAATGTGATGAGAACAGGAAATTTAATAAAACTATAAATTACATTGAAGCAGATTTTTATCTATTTTGAAGATATCAATTTTATTGAAGTACCAATTACTGGTAAGATCTTGGATGTACGGTTTATTGAAGGATAAAAGGATCAAAGTTAATATTTATTTTTATAATAAAAGGACAAGAATTCCTCTGAGGTAGAATTAATCATTTACTCGATAAATTTAAATCACTATAGCCTTTTATATTATTTATCTATTTCAAAAGAACTCTAAATAGAATTAAGTAAGTTCAGATAATAGGGCTTTAAATTTCTAAAATTAGTCTCATGCATTTAAGTTGCTAATTTAACTAAAATTAAGCTTTTCATGAGAAACTAACATTTTACATATTTGTATTACTTAATGTTAGATCGATAAAATAATTAAATTTAATTAGAATCACAAAAGTCAATTAGAAATTGGGGCACTTTTGATTTTGGCATTGATTAATTCACATTAGACTATTTCGACGAGAATATTTTGGTTTTAAAAGAATTGAAAGATAAATAATTTTAATATTATGATCTTAGAGAAGAAAAGAGCTTTTATGATTATTTCCATAAATCAATGAATTAAATCATTACAAAGCGAATAAATACTACACATTTCATTTTTTTCCATAACTCTATTTTTCATCTAGGAACAATTGGATATTAAATAGAATAGCAGAATTTATCACAAAGTAATTATAATATTGAGTTGTATGCATCAAACGATATATCAGAAGAAAAAGCTTTGTTTTAGATACTTTTAATAACCTCTAAGAATTAATTTACGATTTTATTAATTTAATTATTATGTTTAATTTTCATAATTTTTTATTTAAGAAATATGAAAACAAGCAATCAAAATTAAAACAAAAGATGCTCAAATCTTTAAGTTACATAATTTAGAAATATATGATTTATTTTTACAAAATGTGTATAATTGCAAAATAAAATTTCAATGTATTTTTCATTTTATTAAAAGTTTTTATTTCTTATCATTTAATTCAAAATTTTTAATTATTCTATTTTTTTATTTTTCCTAGCTTATTAAATTGTAAGATAAATAAAGAGTTCGTTTAGTAAGTTGTAATGTCGAGTAATAATGTGCTCGGATTTCATATCTTCATTTTGATTTAATTTTAATATAAAAGTTAGAGATAAATGTATTGATATCTTACGCTTTAGAAGTATCCTTTATAAGTTTGGATGAATTAAAAACGATGTATTAAAAAGTATACAAATCAAACAAAATGGTCATTTTAAATCAATACTTATATGTATTGAGATTTTTTATGATGAAAATACTGAGCAATTATCAATATTATATTTTAGATTTATAATTCTATAAATACTTTTGTAAAATTAGAAAAATAGGAGATTTAAACATAAATTTCAAATTGAAATTAGCTTTGTTTGTGGTAAGAATAAAAGTACAATAGAATAGAATTTGATAAATCATAAAAAAGGTTTTTCTGTATTCTTTGGTCGTATTTTAGGCAAGATAGTCCTTACGCTTCATTATTATTGTTCTTTTACCTTATACGATAATAATGTAACCAATCTTAAATAAGGCTAATAGTAATCCAAAAATAATATCATTATCTTTGCAAACCTATCAGTATTTTGAACTATTTGTTATACTTAGCAAAGTCAGGATGAGAAGAGATACTCAAAAAATGTAAAATTTATAATTGGCAAATGATACCTGATAACAGATTTGTTAGCATAATTATTCCTAGATACATAGTATAATAGAGACTAATCAGCATATCTGCATTGATTGAGTAAAATTAGAATTTACCAAACGATTCTAATATTTTTTAGTTAAAAGCTAAAGTAAATAAATCTACTAAATTAATTGTAAAAAAGGGTGAATTGAAATTAGATCAGAAAATTCAAAATATATTGAGAAATTTTCTGGATAAGCAACATTAATAAACCTGTGATATGATTAATATTACAAAGTATCTAAAACGTCAAAACAATTTGAAGGGTTACCTGACAATAATATAATAAAGCTTGATAGGCCAAGAATTATAAGAATTAGAAAGTTGAATTAATGAGCTTTTGAAGAAGCTTATTTCTATTGTTCGTTAAAAACAATTGGATTTTTCAATTTTAATTCAAGTTCTTTGTTCATAATTTCTAAATCATAATTATTGACTAAAGAAGTGTTAAAGAAAACTTAGAAAATTAGGTCTTTTTACTGAATTAAGTCCATTATTCACATTAATCATCTAATTACATATTTCACACTATGGAGGAAATTCAAAGATCCTGAGGGTAAAATCAGTAATCCCCCAAAAAATTTCACCATATTCCTAAAAATTATTAGAATCGGTCAAAAAAATTGAAATTTAAAGTTTAGACTCTAATGATAGAAAAATTATCTATCCTCTCTTTGAGTTTGTAAGAATCCTACGACGCACACTCATAAGAGAAATAGTTTTGTTGACAATCCCTATATTATATCATCTAAAGATGCCATTAACATAAAATTCCCTGGATAAGAAATGAAAGGCTAAAATTCTATCTCGCAAGCGTAATGAGGAGGAAAAAAAAAGGTTGTATACATCACCTAATATTTGCTTCCCTCAGGTGAGCTATATAATACAATAATATGTTATTTTGTATGAGAATTTTTTTCAATTCAAAAGCTGCATGACACTATTTATGCAAAATGATTCGCAATAATAAAACCTGCTCATATATGATAATGATTTGATATATAAATCTACAAATAGTGGTATATTAAATGCTATTTTATACTAGTATTAATTATTTTACTTATAGCAAAAAGAGGTCTCTCATTTGAAACACAGACCAATCCTGGTTTATGGAAAATTTTAATTTTTGATCTTTCTTTATGTTTTTGGCTTTTTCATTCGTTCCTAGAGTTTGGATGCTTTAGTCTTTTATTTTGTTTCAATGACTGCAAAAAAAAGAATTCAGAAAATAGGATTGAAAACCACTTTGTTGAACTTTATATAAAGATGTAGCAAAAAAAATATACTCCTTTTTTATATTCCTTTATAAAACAAGTATTCTAATTTTCAAGAGAAATTTTAATATATAAATAAGAAGAAGCGATTCTTATTATCTTTAAAAATAGTTTATCCATTTATCCACTCTTTCATATCAGATGATAATTAAGTAATATCAAAAATTTTTCTTATTAAATATTTATTATAACATTTCATCAAATTACTGGCTTTAGAAAAGAAATTGTAATAATTAAGAAATATTTCTGTTTTATTTTAAAATACATTTATGGTATATAAATCCCTAAAATGAAATTTTAGTCTACCTGGTAAGAAAATGTACCATTGATAATCAAACTGATATTCTGCTAGTAGAGAGTATTAATCGAATAAGATTAAGTATATCGCACAATTTTGTCACGTCTGAATAAATTCAAACTAGAATTAAACTCAAGAAATATATGAATAAATATTTTAATCTATATTTGCTTTAAAATTACTTAAATAAATGTAAATTAATTTTATACCTACTTTTAGCAAAGTCATATGAAGAAATAGATTTTAATCATTACGATAAAATAAAAAAAATGATAATATTAAGCAATTATCTTCATATTATATACAAAAATCCTCCTTATCCTTTGCCTAAGGATATATCAGTAACTTAAGACTACTTTGATTTTGGTTAAAAAGATATTAGCAACAGATTCAAGAGAATATTTTTTCTTTAAAGAGCAATAGATTAAAAGAAATTAACAAGAAAACGATACTCTTATTCAATTTCAAGCCTTACTTAAATAAAAAATTATTAAAAGTTCCAGGATAAAAATAATAATTGATTCAGAATTATTATCAAAGTTAATTAAATTTAAGACCAAATTTAATGTTATTTCAATTCTACTAAAAAATTTCAATCTTTAATTTGATTTATTATCATATATTTATGCTCCATCATAATAGATTTATATAATAGTTACTTTTCAGATAAGAATACGGGCAGCAAACGAAAAGGCTTGTCTATATTTAGGTATATAGAACGCTATTTAATATATCTCATTTAAACAAGTACATATTCATTTCTGACAAGGGATAATTTAATTGATAGAGGGTTATTGACTTCCCAAAAAAGAACTACTACACGATTCTCTAATCGTTCTCTATGCTTTACGGATTTCCGTAACGGATCTATTTCTACACTTTCTTAAATGAAGCGAAACTAGCTTTCTTACTTACTCTCCATCTGAATCATTCCTCCTTAAACTGATATTTACCTATAAAAATAGAATTTAATACAATATAAACTGTTGGGAGAAAAAAAAGCTAAAAGCCTTTTATCTTTTCTTCTATATTAATGGTTTTTAGCAAATTTCTTTAGTATAATTAGAGCCTCTTTAAAATGGTCATAGACATACTTCTCATAAAAAGATTAGGGAATTAAATTTTGAATTCACTAGCAAATCACTTTTAAACTTTACATTACACTTCTCAATGTTTTTAATATCGAATCAATGAATTGCCAATTTAATAATTTGAAATTTCTTCATTTTATAAATCGTTTTAATTTCTGGCTGCTAAGTTAGATTTTGTCAATGTTTTTAAATGACCTCAATTTTATTGATACTAAAAATTAAATAAAAACTATATTGTTACAAGAATAGCAGCAAATAACTATAACTGTTTTATATTCTCATTTAAGGTATAACTAATAATTCTTAAGGAAATTAATAAGGGTTAATTAATTGTCATCTATATTTGCTTTTGTAAAAATATCTTTTAAACAAACTCATCAGATCTGAATATTTTTTTTAAATAAAAATCAGGCACTAAATTGCATTTGTGTCATCAATTAATAAACTGAATAAAAAAAATAATTGTAATATTTTCTGAAAGTAAGAGAACTCTTACCTATTTTAATAACTTTGTATTGACTGGTAAAGGAAACTTTAAATAAAAAATCGTTGTTGCACAATTCTGCCGAACTTATTGAATAAGTAAGTCAAAATTAATTTACTTTTATTCTGCCAATAAATAACAAATTTCTAGAATCAAGCTAAGAGTAAGATAGCTATCCTTAATGTATAGGTAGAACCTACTCAACTAGCATCGAAATTCAAAAAATTAGAAAAATAAACAAGGACCATCATAAATAAATAAGTCCAGATGAGGCAAAGTTGAACTTAAATAGTCAAAACAAATTATTGTCTATTTATAATTACATTAATACTTATTTCTTATGGGAAGGAGAGGAACTTGCTCAGAGTAGATTAAAGAAGTATGATGATATTGATTAAAAATGCCTATTTTTTATCAAAACACTCTTTTTTCTTAGATATCTCTTAACAATGCTTCATTTAACTGTTTTCATCATGAAGGTCGTCTACGGTAATTTGTTATTAAAAAATCGAATCCATTAAATCGATTTTTATTTATTAGTTCTCTCTAGGAGTTATAATTCAATCGTCATATTTTATGATTTCTAAAGAAAATCTAAGAAATGATAATTTTACTCACAAACTGAATAGAATTCACCCAAAGCAATTTAACTCTTTGCCGAAGCTCCTTAAAACGATATTTAAGTATGCATGAATTGATTTTCGATTTATTCAATCAATAGGCGAAGATATTTTGATATTAATATGACTTAAATCAAGATTGAAATAGTTTTAGATTACGTTTCTCTAACTAATACCTTAGATGAATCAGTAATAAAAGTGAGGACATTAAATGAACATTATATTCATAATATACTATTGTTCATTCATCTCCATGTTTCGAAAAAAAGTAAATCATAGAGAAGTTAATATTGTTCTTCACTCAATTTCAACTCTATTCAATGAATTTTAAACCTTATAAAGTTTGATCTTTGATTACAACATTTAAATGAAATATTTTTTGATTCTTAGAAAAGATGTAGTAATAGAAATTCAATGTTATTTTTAAAAAAAGAAAATGAATTGCAATTATAGGTAAAAAGAAGATTTGAGTGAGATTTTAGCTGATTTAAAAGATATTGATGAATTATTCTTGAAAGTCATGTTTAAAATATTCAAAAGAGAAAAAATTCAAGATTGTGTAGAATTTCTTTCAAAAGATGAGAATTAAAGACGAATCGAATAATATTATATCCAAGAAGAAAATCTATCCCATTTGGTTAAGGAAAATAAGATTAAAGGAAAAGAGAGTGTTTAGAAAATTACTTAAACTGTCAACAAAATTATCAATCACGATTTTAATAGGAATAATTATTCCTAACAAAAGTACAGAACAATCAGATTAGAACTAATTTAAAAAATTTCAGATGATAAGAAGATCTTCGAATTTTTATAATTTCTAGTTCACCTTACAAGTATAGATAATAGATTTATCTAATGTGGTTCGAATTCACTTAATGTGTTGATTTAAATGAAGGTTGATCTGAGGGGAAAAGTGTTTGAAAATATCAAGATTAAAGATACATCTTTAATTGGTGCTAACTTTGTAGGATGCAATTTGAGTGGATCTCAATTTGAAAATGTTGATATTAGTGGAATGAATTTAAATGGAGCGTAGTTATTTAATTGCAAATGGAATAGAATTAAAATACATGAATTATATAAATTAGAAGGTCACATTAGTAACGTTTATTCAATATGCATATCACCTGACGGTACAACATTAGCATCTAGCAGTGCAGATAAATCTATCCGTTTATGGGATGTTAAAACAGGATAGTAAAAAGCCAAACTAAATATTCATAGAGATAATGTGAGATCAGTATGCTTCTCTCCTGATGGTAAGACATTAGCATCTTGCAGTCACGATAAGACTATTTGTTTATGGAGTATTTAGACAAGAAAATTAAAATTGAAATTATAAGGACATAGATAGTCAGTTATTTCAATATGTTTCTCTCCTGATGGTATTACTTTAGTATCTGGTAGTATAGATAAATCTATCTACTTATGGAATACTAAGACAGGGCAATAAAAAGCAATAATTAATGGTCATACTGGTTGTGTAAATTCAATCTGCTTTTCACCTGAAGGCTCAACATTAGCATCTGGCAGTGATGATCAGACGATCCGATTATGGGATATTACAACAATGCAATAAAAAACTAAATTAGTTGGTCATAATGGTGGAGTTAATGCTGTATGCTTTTCACCTGATGGTACAACATTAGCATCTGGTAGTTCAGATAACTTTATTTATTTATGGGATGTTAAGACAACACTATAGAAAGCTAAATTAGATGGTCATAATGGTTGTGTGAATTCATTATGTTTCTCAAAAGATGGAACAACTTTAGCATCTGGAAATGCAGATAACTCCATTCATTTATGGGATAATAAGACAGGACAATAAAAAGTCAAATTAGATGGTCATATTGGTTAAGTATATTCAGTATGCTTCTCACCTGATAATGCTATATTAGCAAGCGGTAGTGCAGATAAGTCAATCCATTTATGGGATTTTAAGATTAGTCTATAAGAAGCTAATTTGGATGGGCATACTGGTTAAGTAAATTCAGTTTGCTTTTCACCTGATGGTACAACTTTAGCATCTGGCAGCGCGGATAAATCAATCTGCTTATGGAATATTAAGACAGGAAAATAAAAAGTTAAAATGAATGGTCACAGTGGTAGCGTAAATTCAGTCTGTTTTTCACCTGATGGTACAACATTAGCATCTAGCAGTGATGATAAGACGATCCTATTATGGGATGTTAAGACAGGATAATAAAAAGCTAAATTAGATAGTCATTGTGGTAAAGTGAATTCAGTTTGTTTTTCACCTGATGGTTCTACACTAGCATCTGGTAGCGTAGATAAATCAATCCGTTTATGGGATGTCAAGAGGAGGCAATAAAAATCAAAATTAAGTGGACATAGTAGCTGGGTCCAATCAGTATGTTTTTCTTCTGATGGTTTAAAATTAGCATCTAGTAGTGATGATAAGTCTATTTGTATTTGGGATATTAAAAAAGGTATATAAAAAGCCAAATTAGACGGACATAGTGGTTATGTTATTTCTGTATGCTTTTCACCTGATAATTCTACATTAGCCTCGTGTAGTGAAGATAAATCTTTACGTTTATGGGATGTTTCAACAGCAACATAAAAAGCCATATTAGATGAGCATAGACATGTTTTTCGAAGTGTGTGCTTTTCTTGGGATGGTAAAATATTGGCATCTGGCAGTGATGATAAGTCAATTTGTTTATGGAATTTAATGACAGGATAATTAAAGGTCAAATTAGATGGTCATACTAGCGGAGTGCGATCAGTGTGCTTTTCACCTGATGGTTCTATATTAGCATCAGGTAGTTATGACAGCTCTATACGCTTATGGAGTATAGGGGCAAGTATATCTAAATTTAGACAGAAAGGACATAGTAAATCTGTCTTTTCTATATGTTTTTCTCCTGATGGTTCTTCTTTAGTTTCTAGCAGTGAGGATAAATCTATTCGTTTATGGGAAATTAAAACAGGACGAAAAATAGCCAAATTTGATGGCCATAGTGATTGTGTATTTTCAGTTTGTTTTTCTCCCGATGGCACTACATTAGCATCTGGTAGTGGTGATAAATCTATTCGCTTATGGAATGTTAAGACAGGATAATAAAAAACCTAATTAGAAGGTCATCGCGATTTTGTTCGATCAGTGTGTTTTTCTCCGGATGGCAACTTTTTAGCATCTGGTAGCGATGATAAGTCTATTCGTTTATGGCATATTAAGAAAGGAAAATAAATAATTTAATTTGATGGTCACACTCATTATGTTTTCTCTGTATGCTTTTCTCCTAATGGTACTAAATTAGCATCTGGTAGTGTGGATAATTCTATTCGTATTTGGGATGTTAAGACAGGATTATTAAAAAAATAATTAGATGGCCATAGTTCTATTATACGATCAGTTTGCTTTTCTCCTGATGGTATTACAGTAGCATCTGGTAGTGATGATAAGTCTATTCGTTTATGGGACTCCTCAACAGGACAATTAAAAGCCAAATTAGATGGTCATATTAGTGGAGTTAGATCAGTGTGCTTTTCACCTGATGGTCGTTAATTAGCTTCTAGTAGTGTGGATCTGTCAATCCGTTTATGGAATACTAAGACTTTACAATAGACAACCATATTAGAAGGTCATAATAAAACTGTTTTTGCAGTTTGCTTCTCTCCTGATGGAACTAATTTAGCATCTGCCAGTGCAGATAACTTTATATATTTGAGAGATGTTAAGTCAGGTAAATTTAAAGCCATCCAAAATGCTCATATTAATTATGGACGATCAATAACTCTCTCACCTGATGGTACTATATTAGGATCTGATAATGGTGATAAATCAATCTATTTGAATGATGTTAAAACAGGTTAATACATGGAATGCTTTGATAATCGTTAAAACAAAATTTCGGGATAATTTCAAACACTCACATTTAACAATAAACCTTACAGGAATGGTATTAATATTATTTTATTTAGCCACATGCAATATTACTCTTCAACTTATATCCAAATAGTTAATATTTTAATCTTAAGGGACTTTAATCTGGAAAGGAGAGTTTGTAAATCAATTAGGCATGGATTTGAGAATATTGTTTTAGGAAAGAGGAAGTCTTATATTTTTAAACCAAATAGATTCACAATAAAAATAAAATTGATTATTATTATAAAGCAATTATAAATAAAAAATTACATAGAAAATTAAGTATTTATTTTGCTCTTCTTTTTAATAATATTAATGTATTTTCCCTAAATTTAAATTATAAAATTTCTTATATAAGGAGCACATAAGGAGTGCAATATTCCTATCCATCCTGAATTAACAAAAGAGAAAGGTTTAAGTTGACTTGATCGTCTGTAAATAATTAACAACTGCCAGTAAACCCAAGAATCACCTTAAATTTAACCCTAAATCTTTAGATTATCCCCAATTAGATTGTAATTTATGTTGCACACTGAATGGTTAGTAATTGATCTTGCTCTAACATCTTATAAAGCAAAACCGATTAGTGATCTAAATAGAAAGTTTATGCCTAGTGACAATTACAAATATGAAAATGGTAGGTAGATAAGACGCAACTTAGGAAATTTGCAACAACTATGATTTTCAGCCACCCTTTGAAGTATACTCTAGATTTTAACTAAGATGTCTTACTCAGAAATTCTAATAAATTGTTTTATACCTAAAGCATTTCATTAGTTTAGCTAAGATTTAGGATTTGAGGATCATTTTCAATATGGATTCCAAATGATTCCTAATGATTCCCAATGATTAGAGTGTAAGAACTATCAATAAATAAAATCCGATTATATTTTAATTACTAATAATTAAATTTACTAATAAATGCTATCAACCAAAATGATGGACAATCTTCTATCTTCTTCTTAATCCAGATTACCTTAGGAATAAAAGAATATTAGGACTGAACTTTTGAAATATTTAGAATCAAAAGCTGAGTTAATGGGTTTTGAAAAAAATTGATTAATTTTTAAGTTATTTATAAGCAAAATAAGAATCATTTGTGTATGTAATAATAGTGTTCATCAAATAAATTGAATAGATATTAAAACGTATTATTCTGTGTAAAGGCATAATGTTCAATTATTAGATTTATTAATGAAAAATTTAGATCAAAAGATTAAAACATAGAATTAGTTGAGATATAAAATATGACGATTCAATTCTATGATGAATTGGAAAGGTTTATAAGCACAATCATCTTAAAAAATTAGAAATCATTAATTGATTAAATTAATCAATTTTGGAATCAAAGGATAATTAACATATTTGTTGTTTTTTGTTTAACTTTGTTTTTCTTCTTGAAAGCTTTCATTTAAGTGAGTGAATTGTTATTTAAATATACTCTGTTCTTGATCTTTTACAATATACCCTTATGTTATCTAAAATGAGAGCGGTGTTGAAAGATTGAATGATTCTACTAGTAGAATTAGTAAAATAAAATTTGACTTAAGTTCTTCTTAGTTCAATATTCATACACCGTCTAGTATCTAAATTTTAAACAGTTATGTGAAGGGTTCAATATCAATAGATCAATAATCATCCACGTTTTATATGGGTGATGTACTTCATCAAACCCCAAGTTTGCCCACATCTAATTATAATAAACTACCAATAAGCATTTGTGTATTCGTCTTTTTTATTACTTTCTCAAACTTACATCTTAAAGATTTATCCTAAAATATCTATTTGTCATGGCTTAAAATAGATAAACTGTAGTTATACCTGAGCATTATCTTTTGGTAAGGTAGAATCCTACCAATATAATGCCGTTAAAAGGTGAATCAATCGATCCAATGGAGGAATTTGCCTTATATAAAATTATTGATATTGAATTTAAGGATTTACATTGAAGATTTAAATTTTATATTTCTAACAGCAAAACAATCAAATAATATACTAATTTCCCGATTTTAAGCGAAAATAAGAATTTATTTTTTGATTATTTGTATATTCTAACAGATAATTTGAATTAGATTTTTGAGTTTAAATGAATGTTGAGCAACTAGAAAGTGATTATTACTAAGAGTTCTTTATATTTTAACCTCAATAATATTGTAAAAAGACCACAGTTGTTTTGGTCATCTCCTAAATTACACTTTAGAGTAGATTATTTACAAATTGAGATTAACTTAGCAGGCATTCTTTAATTATTCTCTTTCACATGATCAAACACTTTAATTATGTTCCTCAAATAATAATAACACTCATTCAATCAGACTAAATCGTAATTAAAAAGAACAAAATTAAAAAAGCAGAAAAAATGCCTTTCAAAACTAATTGCAAACCACTAATCCAATAAATTAGTTTATCAGAAAAAGTATTAAAAATAAATTCAAATAATCACTCAAGTAACTAAGTAACTGTAACTCGATTCTCTGAAAGCAAGTTGAGATAAATCCATTTGGGATTGAATTACAAGAAAGATAGATATATAATTTTTTTATGATAGCATTAGAAGTTTATAACAGAAAAATAAATTCTGAGAGAAAGTCAAATTTAGATGCTATTACAAGAATGGTAAAAGGAAAAGGAAGATCATCTAGGTTAGATAGATTCTAAAGTAGTTGGATAACAAAGGTCGTCACAAATTTGAAGAAAATGAACAACGAAATCTTCTAATCGCTCTGTCGTTAAGAAAAACTAAGTATCAAAAATTAACTAAAGGAAATTCTAACATCGGACTCAGACTTCGTCAGAAGCTAACAACAAATCCACAATTTCAATAATAGTAGAATAAGATTAAACTATTATAAAGAAAAATATAATTTGGAAATATCACTCTAAGATATTAGATTTATTCAGGAATAATTAAAAGTAAAAGGCTGAGCTTTAAGGAAAAGAGGGAAGAAGTATAACCAAAGACAATAATTGGATAAGTGCTTGAAAATTCGTTGGATTTGAAACAAAGTTGAGTCATGATCTGATCTTTTCTCAACATGATTTAAGAATCAATCCATCAATAGAGATTTGAAGTCTTAAAACTTAAAATGGAAGGCTCTTATCGAGCATAATAATATGCTCCCCAATTCCATTTTCAGTGAATAAAGATATAAAATAGTTAAATATAAATATCAAATCGTCTTGAAATGAAATCTTCAATTTTGGTTATTGATTAACAATTTATTTCAACTTAGTTTCTCACTAATATTGACCCTAATTTAGTCCAATAAAAATTTTGGAATAGTGAAATAAATTTTAATCAAGATTAAATCGAGTACAATATTGTTATTCGAATAATTGAAAATAAATACAAAAAATTAATATGCTGATTAAAGGATGGATGGTTCTAATTTTAAAGGGTTCCTAAAAGGATTAACGTAATATTTTTTCTCCAGAAGAATAAAAGGTGCATTAAAAAACTAAAACGAAATCTTCCTCCATCTCTATTTTCATTTCACAACTATAAGATCAAACCATCTTGATTGGATTTATTATTAATACTTTTGAAGTTTTAAGATTTAAATAATAACTATAACCTTAGAGTTCAAAAATCTATTTATTAAGCATTTGATATGAATTTAGTAATTCCAATAGCACTTATATTTCTAATTTAATTTTAAGTATATCTTTCCCTAAACCTTTTCATAATATCATTATGAATATATCAATAAAAGTTATAGATCAATCAACCTATATTATGTAATCTGAACTTTTAATCAAATATTTAAATTTTAGTATATTATTGAATCCGTTGCCTTATATTCCAGATTTAATTCATCTTGATTAAATTATATCATCTTCCATTAACTTATCTAAAATTTATTTATCGTAAAGATAATATGAATCTATCTATTTTATTGTTATATTTTTTGAATTTATATTTCTATCTCTTTTTTTTTTTTTTTTATTTAAATAAAAGTTTGATTGATCTCTCTTTATTAAGTAATCTTAATGGTTTCAAAATTTAGTTATCTCCTAAAGATTCAATAACAATTGTTTCTGTTGTCTTATCAACTAAACTTTTGGGCTATTTAAAATAATCCAAGGGTTTAGAAAATCTTCATAGAAGTCTAAATTATAATATCTTTTAAAATTAAAATTTATAAATCAAACGTTGTCTTAAGACTGTAATTTCCTATCATTTTGAGAATTATTAGCCAATATAAATGTACATCTAAATTTCATCTAATTGTCTTTCTTTCCTAAACAACCCACAATAAAGGAGAACTCTGCCTTAAAGCTTTTTTATTATTTGTTTTCTAGCAATAAATCTTTAAATTAATAATTTACATTATAAGAAAATTAGAAAATTTATATAATTTTATACAGAATCGATTACTATATTTAACTTTTTATAACTTTAATGCCACAGAAACTATGCTTTTAGACATAAGTAGGGCAGGATATTTTCATTACTCATCCAAGATTATAATGGTTCTATTGGATAACATTCTGGATGTCAAGAATTTTAGAATTACATTCAGTTATCTTATGATATGTGATTAATTTTAGTTGTCATTATTATTTAGTTTAGCAATGGATAATGCTATTGTGATAACTTAATTATTTTTGCAACTAGCAACTTGATAGAAATATTATTTTATTTAAATTTAGTTAGTTATACAATTAAAGAATCAAAAATTAGATATTTACTTTAAATGATTTAACTAAATTCTTAAACATTCCAAATTCAAGTACTTTCAGTTCTATGATACCTTAAGAATCTTTCTAGAATTATTGCTTGTAAAATTTTACCGAACCTAGAAAATTTGTAACTAAACCAATTATATTGCTTTAAATTAAGGTTATTTTCGAAAGATTCTTTGTTTCAATTAACAAAGGTTCTCATCATTCACAACAAAGTCATTCTGATTGAATCAATAGAAATGATAATGCGATTGTGAATAAGTGATGTAAAATTTTTTTTTTATTTTTATTTTGGAATTGTTCAAATTTCGTTTAAGAAATAATGGCGTGCTTTTTATTCACCCCCAATGTAATTTGATTTCATCTGAAAGTTAATAATAAAAGAGATTTCAAATTTCTATATTTTTTAAGAATTACACGATTGTAATTACAAAATTGAGAACNTTATTTTTTTAGTGTTTTATTTTTATTTTTCTAGCAACGGAACCATTGCTTTTAATAAGAATTTTTTTATTTTTTTTTATTTTTTTTTTATTTTTTTTTTTTATTTTTTTAATTTATATTTCTTTCTTATTTTTTTTTTTTTTTTATTTAAATAAAAGTTTGATTGATCTCTCTTTATTAAGTAATCTTAATGGTTTCAAAATTTAGTTATCTCCTAAAGATTCAATAACAATTGTTTCTGTTGTCTTATCAACTAAACTTTTGGGCTATTTAAAATAATCCAAGGGTTTAGAAAATCTTCATAGAAGTCTAAATTATAATATCTTTTAAAATTAAAATTTATAAATCAAACGTTGTCTTAAGACTGTAATTTCCTATCATTTTGAGAATTATTAGCCAATATAAATGTACATCTAAATTTCATCTAATTGTCTTTCTTTCCTAAACAACCCACAATAAAGGAGAACTCTGCCTTAAAGCTTTTTTATTATTTGTTTTCTAGCAATAAATCTTTAAATTAATAATTTACATTATAAGAAAATTAGAAAATTTATATAATTTTATACAGAATCGATTACTATATTTAACTTTTTATAACTTTAATGCCACAGAAACTATGCTTTTAGACATAAGTAGGGCAGGATATTTTCATTACTCATCCAAGATTATAATGGTTCTATTGGATAACATTCTGGATGTCAAGAATTTTAGAATTACATTCAGTTATCTTATGATATGTGATTAATTTTAGTTGTCATTATTATTTAGTTTAGCAATGGATAATGCTATTGTGATAACTTAATTATTTTTGCAACTAGCAACTTGATAGAAATATTATTTTATTTAAATTTAGTTAGTTATACAATTAAAGAATCAAAAATTAGATATTTACTTTAAATGATTTAACTAAATTCTTAAACATTCCAAATTCAAGTACTTTCAGTTCTATGATACCTTAAGAATCTTTCTAGAATTATTGCTTGTAAAATTTTACCGAACCTAGAAAATTTGTAACTAAACCAATTATATTGCTTTAAATTAAGGTTATTTTCGAAAGATTCTTTGTTTCAATTAACAAAGGTTCTCATCATTCACAACAAAGTCATTCTGATTGAATCAATAGAAATGATAATGCGATTGTGAATAAGTGATGTAAAATTTTTTTTTTATTTTTATTTTGGAATTGTTCAAATTTCGTTTAAGAAATAATGGCGTGCTTTTTATTCACCCCCAATGTAATTTGATTTCATCTGAAAGTTAATAATAAAAGAGATTTCAAATTTCTATATTTTTTAAGAATTACACGATTGTAATTACAAAATTGAGAACTTGGACAAAGAACCTAGAATAATTGTATTTTGATTTAAATTTTCTAAAATTATTTTTTTGTGCTTGTTTATTTTGATCCTAAACCATCATTTCAATTACATTCTCATATTAAATTTTAATTTATAGTTTTTTATATAATCTGATTCAAACGATTATTTCTAGATAGGATTTAAATTAAATCTTGTAATGATTCAAAGAAAAGGATATATTCATTTCGTCATTAATAATCGAGGAAAAAAAAAAATATTGGATCTTTTATATAAATTTATAATAATTCTAATTTAATATCTTCCTTCAATTATCATAATCACTTCTTTCAAATCTTGTAATTTACCTTTTATTAGAGTCTTCGTGGGCTATACCCTGAAAAAACACTAATTCATTTCTTGAGGTGCTTGATTTTGCACTATGAATTCTTGAACTTTAGAAAGATATAAATTATCTATATCGCTTTGAGTTTTTTATTTATAATCTTGAAAATGAAATCAGATGATCCTTCAATTTCATAAACAAATATTTGATTCTTTTTTCTTTCTATTTTTCTTCTTCTAAAATATTTCTTAACGTAATTGTAAAAATAAAATTTGGTACTTTCGAATTCAGTAGTTAATGTAATTTATTTAAAATTAGAAATTTATAAAACTTGATATAATTTCTTGCTATGTCAAAAATAAAAGGGCAACACATTTTAATGAAACATGCGATTATAAAAAATTAAATCATAATAGAAGGACCAAAATTATCTTTTTATTCACAAATATATTTCGTCAATGCTAATAATATTGAAATTGAACAAATTTGACTACTTTATATGTCTAAATTATTAAATTTTTGATTAATAAATGGCTAATGAAAAGTTGCTAATTTTTAATACATCAATAGGCTTAATCCTAAGAGGGATGCCTTTAAAACTACCTCAGTTTCAAAGTTAGTCAGAATAAATATTAAGATTGCTTTCTTAAATAATTTAATTTATTCCCAGTAAAATTTTTCTATCCTGTATTCATTCAACAAATATGATATATGTCTTCTAATTTTAATTTTTTCTAATCTATTTTTATTTATCGCCAATAGTAGAAAAATCAATAATGGGATTACAAAACCAATAATAATCAGCCCTGGAATTATAAAATATACCATCCATAATTAATGATCTTGAGTGCCATATATCCTGGAAACATCGCCATGAATATAGAAAATATTTGAGACTTCTCTTCTAGAAACAACGGTTGAAAACCTAATTATTTTAATCTTAATACATTTTAAATAATCCTGCAAAGTTGAAAACATACAAATATAAAACTGTGTTTGATAAAATGCTTAGATCGTATTTTTGTTTAAGATATATTAAATAAAAGTACGATCCGATAAATGTAATATTAAATTGCATCACCATCAATATTATCATTGTCAATATTTTCAAATATACATTTGGTATCCATTAAATAGATGATATTTAGCAATCTAAATCCTTAGATATGAAATATGAACTATTACTGGTTTGTTCAATAAAAAGAAAAGAGAAAGAAAAGTCTAAGTTAAATGTAAATATCACAGAAAATATCCATAAATAATTTAACAGCATTTTTATCATAATACTTTCATGATCTAATAATTAATTACACAATTTTTACTTTAGTTTAATTTAAACAATAACTTGTTATACCTTTGACCTATCATTAATTATGCATATAATAAATTAGAGGAATGTATACTTTTTAAAGACAAAAATATAGATGCAAAAGACCTAGCATAAAGAAAATTCAATACCAAATTCCAACAATAATAATTGAGATTATGGAGCCAATCTCAAATTAACATTTTAGACATCTTAAGTTCCATTAATTTTTAAAATACTTGCCAAATCCCCGAATATTATAAATATCGCATTCTTCACACAATGCCCCAATATGCCCTTCTCTACATGTATAATCACCAACCTACCAACCTCCATTGCAAAATTGTGGATTCTTAAAACAAGGCTCCACGTAATCTGATAAATTATTGGGTCTCCAAAATCCTGGTTGCATTTTTATCATGTTTGAGGTGATATCTGAATATTTTTCTTTATCAAAAATCGAACATTTTGTAGCATTGTATTTCACTGAATAATATCCCAATTTAGAGTCACATATTTAACATCCACCATTGATATAATATTCCCCCAGTTAGCATTTAAGGCTTTTTGCTTTTATTATATATAGTAAATCAGTTCTGGATTCTTCTATTTAACAGTTAATTTCAATCTATAAATGGTCATACGTTTATTCATAAGGATCTAGACTAAAGGATAACGATCCAAAATCAAAAGAATTCTTATCCTTTTCATAAAATAATTTTTAAACATCTCCTGATCTATATAATTCTTAAAAGGATCTAGTGATAATTTTATTTGTAACTTTACAGGTAGAATTCAATTGATCAAATAGAATCTCATTTCTACTGTTTTTATAGAACAATCTAATATCTTAAACAAAGGTATGATAATTTGAGTTGCGAAAATCAAAAATTTATAAAGATTTAATCACCTAATTACTAGGTATTATTAAATCATTTGTATAGATGTGGTTACCTTATTCAATCATCCGATACTTTCTAAGTGTCAATATATTTGCAATGGTATTATTAATAATGCAAGTTATTGAAGGATTCTGCAAGTAATTCAGATAAACAGCCAAATGAGTAGGAGTCTCTACAATATTGTCACCATATTCTGAAGCAATATTAAATAATAAGAATGATGATACAAAATTATCCTTATTTAAATTTAAATCACCTTTTAAATAAATACCACCTCCAATACGAGCACTATTACCTATAATAAGTGATCGATTAATAATAAAGCTCATATAATTTGCTTGAATATATATACCTCCCCCCAAATCTTCTGCATAATTTTTTATGATTTTACACAATTTTACTGATATCCTTACATATAATGCTTAAATAGCAACTCCCTAACTGCCATTATTGAATAAGAAATTAGAAGACTCAATTTCTATTTTAGATACAGTTTAAGTTAATGATAAGATATATAAGCATCCATTTCTTTGGATTAAGTTATAATTACAATTTAGATTTTAAATCTTAAAAGATTAGAAATCTTAAGTTTCAATAAAAACCATACCATTAGAACATTATTGACAATTATTATAATTTAAGGTTACATCTTTAAAAAATATGATATTCTAATTTGAAATGCTCTAAAGATAAATCAGAGAATTCTCTTTATTATTGATTTATTAGAGGGAAGTAATACCTAAAAATAAATAATCCTTTTGTAAGGATTCAAAAACTTAGCAATAAGTTGTACATCCTCTAATATAGTAACTACTTGAAAATTAAGTTTTTGCATAATTTATATCGTTATTGTAGATAGAAATATTTGTGATGCTGAGTTATCCTATTTTGATTATTGATTAAATTTACAATTATAATGTGATTTAAACTAAATTACAGTAATAGAATAATTACACATTTTCTATCTTCACATTATTTAGTTATAATTTAGGTATATTCTCAAATTAAAATATAGAATTAATAACTATTCCTTCTATTGTGAATCCTTCTACATTTACGATACAACTTTACAAAAACATAAGAGAATTTTTGCTATTACTAATATCTGTTACTTCTTAGATGGTTAAATTCCCAATCCTTGAGAAATAAAGGATCCATGCATCATGATTTTAAATGATTCTCAAGTTTTTAATTGTAATTTTATTTTTAAAAGCAATAGAAGAAGAAAATTTAATATTGAATATCTAATCTAATAATGAAAGACAATTTAACAAGCTGACATCCAGTAAATAGATAGAGTTCGAAGTTTTAGAAGGTTAAATTGTAAAAATTGCTGATCCCATCCTATTAAATATATTTGTAAATGAGATATTTATCATCCTTAAATGAAGCTTACTATTCTAAGCTTATATATTAAAGCATCCTATACTTTTTTCAATTTATTTTAAGTTGTTATTTACTTAATTTACTGATATATTCATAAAATTTATGTTGCCATCTGATTTTGTTGTGATGTCTAGTATAAAGCTGTCCATCGCCAAGATATTTGAAAATGTACAATTTATACATGTTATATTAGAACCTAAGAATTGACCAGCCCCTCCTCCATTATTTTTTATTTGTAATGCTTAAAAAACAAAGTCATTTAAACTATCTTAATTTAATTATCCATCAAATTGAAGGTCATAATAATTTATCCACAATTCTTATTATAAAAAATTTAGGTTATTTAATGAGAAATTGCTCATCATTAGAGTATCTGATCGTATAATCATGAATGAATTAGAGGTGTTAGTCAAAGCGTTATTTTCATAAAGTAAGTTTTTTATCTCTACCACACTTGATGAAGACAATATATATATTAAGCACACTATAGTGCTTACTGCACCACTTGAATAAGAATGTATAAAGTTTTCAACATACGAAATATTATGTAGATTTATGATAACCTTGTTATCAGTTTCTATAATTAAACATGAAATTAGGTCAACAAAAGTTGATTGAATGAGGGTATTTTCTGTAAATTACAGATTTGTAATCTCAATAATTGAATTGAAAAATGATAAACTTTGTTGACTAGGGTTAATCTATATTATTGATTCATCAACATTGAGAATTCTTGAGATCGAGACATTTATTAAATAAACATGATTAAACCCCATAATATCAAGTAGTTTAGTCTTTTATTTTTATTTCAAACAGTCTTAGGATAGCCCAATCTTTTAATTTTAAAATGAATTCTAAAATAGAATATTAGAAAACAGTATTTTCTTATTTTCGGATAAGTAGAATATTGTGAAGTTATGATTATCAACAATTTCAAAATTTTCTATCAATATTTCAAAACTATTTATATAAAATAACTGAATTATTTCAACTTTACTAGAATATTTGGTATTTTATTTGATGTTAAAATTTATTAACTAAATTTATATGGAATTTGTTTAGAGTGACGAAAATATGAAAATGATATTCGAGCTGGTAAAATCATTCTTTATGGCATCCAAATTTGTTATGTTGCATCTAAAATTGTTAGAGTAAAGGATTTATTTAATGGATAGGAATTAAGAAAAAACAAATAAGGTTTCTGAAATTATTATTAAGCTAAGTGAAATTTCAGAACTAATGGAAATAATCGTTGAACTTTCTAAAAGATTGTTACATATATCAAGATTATTAAGACTTGTCCTTATCTAGCCAGTACTGTTTATAAGATTGGAGTTAACCAAACTGGTGTTTCTTATTTTAAGGTCATCTCCAATTAGAATACCTTATTAAGGTTAATTGTTTAAAATGCTAATTATTGATGAGTTTCTGAAATAGGATTAAAAGATCATCAATTAATTAATTGATAGAAAGGAATGTATTTAGGAGAAATTAAATAATGTAGATTATATAAAAGTGCAATTTTTAATTAATAATGATACAATTTTAATTGATCCCAATGGAAATTATTATTGAAAATTAAAAATGGATGAATTAAGAAAAATTGTGTTCTAAATGGTAAAATTTCTTAAAGTTATATCGCCAAAACGTTCAGTTGCAAATAATGAATAAATGTTGTTTATTGTACTATTTAGAATTGTAAAATTGATTAGGTTTAAATGAATTTAACTCTTACTATTTATTAAAAAGAAAATAACAATCATTTCCTATCACAAATCCTAAATTATTGATCTCAATTTAATCAAAATCATTAAATTCGATAATAAAATAATTTATTATTTCTAAATATTGTATAGATGATAAATTAAAATTAACCTTTTACAATGTAAATATTTTTTGTTTTAATTCAGTTTTAAAGCTAAGTGGAAAAATTAAATAACAAAACTATTCAGAAACATCAAGGAGAAATTCAAAAGTTAATTCTTCAATTCCAATTTGGTTAATATATTAAGTATTAATCTTATTCTCATAATTTCGATTAAATCTTGAAAAATCGCAAGAGTAATAATTAAGTTCAAACACAAATTTATTTTGGCAAATATTATTAAAACAGTACTTAATCAAATGTGAATACGGATTATACATAATGGCAGAGTCTTTATGAGGATAGATGCATTTTTTAGAATAGAGTTAGTTTTAATTATTGACTTTGAAATTTGGGGATATATTCTATTTATTATTGTTATTTCATACTTGAATTTCCAAATCTGAACGATCAATGCATGCTTAACATAAAGGAGGACAGAATGAACACTTTGCACTTAATTCTCTGATAACTGGTTTTTTAAAATAGTCTAAGGGGCATTCAAGGCAATTTGAAAAGTAGCTTTGAGTAACACACTGTCCACATTCAGGATCACATGAATCCTACAATATTGTTTATGGATCCAAAAATTCATTGTAAACACTTGATTAAAGTTAGGGTACAAATTAAAGTATAAAGCTTTAAATTTAATTGACCTAATTTTGAAGTAATTAAGTGTTGATATCAAATTCATCATTTTAATAGCAATTATTATTTTCCAAGATGCAATTGCTTTAGCAAGTGACACATCTAATTTCTATATCTCTGTTAATCATAATAGTACATTGTTAACAATTCGAAATTAAGTCTAGCAATTGGAAATTTGAGGTGCTATCGAAAAGTCATCATTTCTCGAAAGAATGCACAGCTCCTTACTGTTTATATTAATAAAAGAACTTAAACAATTTTCTATTTAAGGTTTTTAGAGTAGACAAAAACCTAAGGAAAAATCAAATATATAGTCTTATTTACACAGTGCACATCCAATTTTGACATCTTATATGAAGTATAATTGATTTTGAGAATAGTTCAATAATGAACAAAAATTCTAATCCTAAGCAGAGTACTCAAAACAATAGAGGCAATTTTTTATTTCACATAATTTGCATTTTTTCTCAAATGATGCATAAAATGGTGGTAAACAGATTAGCTCATTGTTTTAAAATACTTCTTTATCTTCCCTGATACAATTACCATCTATTAATTTAGACGTTTCATCACACTTTACACATTTTATGGAGTTGACTAAAATTTAACAAATTAAACAGTATTAGCTAAGGCATTAGTAACAATACAATTCATTTGTTTGATAAATGTTACTTTTTTAACAAAAATGATTAAAATACATTTATGCTAGTGAAAATTCTTTCAAGATACCTTCTGGATCAGATAGATTAAGATCTAGAATAAACTATTAAAACTGAGTTTAATGAATAACATTTAGTTAATTGCCATCAAAATAAAACTGAAATTTCCCTGAAAGTTTCAAAGCATCCATAAAACTGGTATTCATCTCTAAAACTAGTGATGAAACGCAAGTAGGATTTTGGTACCAGTTCTATGGATTAATTAAACATTCATAACAAGTAATCAAGCCTTCCTTTATTATTGAAGGACTAAATATTTGATGATAACTTACCATTATAAACAAACTCCATCAAACTCAAAATATCCGTATTCACAATTTTTACTTTAAAATATGGTTTCATCCTTTGTCAATTTGAGATTAGAGTCTTTATAGTCTTGGCATTAATTTTCATTATCGATTGTAAAATATGGACATATACAGACCTTATATTCTGGAAGATATATTCTCTTTGATTCTTATGAGCATGACAAACAATCCTGATTTGTTGGACCATTACAATCTTAGCAGCTAAAATGACAACTTAAGTATGCTAGTTCCTAATAGCAATTAAAAAACTCGAAATTTCTAACTTAAAAAATGAAACCATTAGAGGATACAATTTGGCTATCTCCAAATTATACTTAAAACTGACAATTATGAAATTAATTAACTTCATATTCAAGATTATATTTATTAATTTCCTCTTCGCCATAGAATGTTATTTTAACTATTAATTTTGACTTTAATAATTCCACTTTGATAAAATGCCAAAGAGTTACTTAACCTAAGATTAAAAATTTTTTCTTCAATAAAAACGGGTTATCTGAAAAATCAAGTGAAACATCAGGAAAAGTATAATTATATGTTGTTATTTCCATCTCATTAGATTGCTGAAAGAAATGATAAAATAACTAAAAAGGATATAAGTTGTAATTCTATAATTTAGGATTTGATTAAATTGCGGAAACCTTTATTAACTAATAACTAAATGTTTCATATTGATTCTTATTTTCTTTTATTCTAACCCATCCTCTTAAAATGAAGGAATCACAATTGGAATTTTCTGATATAAATTCCTGTTATTATTAATTTACAAAGTCCTAGTCTTTCATTTTATATATTTCATTAGGATTACACACACAAGTTTCAAAAACTGCTTGATATGTTTCTTTTACTACATCAACGAAATTAAAATCAAAATTTAGGATTTAAATTGAAACTTCTTATAACCATATTGGGCCTGGAAAATATGAAAACTACTGATTGTATTATAATTCATTTATTTTAGAATCATTTACCAATAAATTACCTCCAAATGTTAAAATTAAATTTACATCCTTTAATATTTTTTTAATTTCTTATGTGGTTTGTAATAGTACCTCCTATTTCTTTGTCACAATCAACTAAACCCTATCCAATTTTGGCCATATGGCAACTTGAAGGAAATACCAAGTGTTTTCATAGTCAAATGAATTAATAACCAAATCAAACCTTGTATATTAGTTCTAATTATTGATAAATTAAACTGTTTTTATTATCTTCTTTGATTCATAGTTAAGACAATCAAAATATAGTATATTTAAATTCTGTTATTCAAAATCTATTGCATTATGTAAATGAAAGCAATGACTATCAAAAATTCCTAATAATCCCACTTAAGATATTGCGCTTAGTGGATTGAATTTTTACCATACTCCATAACTCAAGCAACTGTTAGTCTGATAACTATCATCTTCCAATTATATAATTTTTCTTTCAAATTGATTTTTAGGATTCATCTCAGTGGTTGTAAATTTATTCCCTATCTTTATGATTAATACCAGAAAACATATAAGTCTCATCAAATAAAATTATTATTAATTAATAATCACAAATATTCCCTTCTTTAATCTGCCGATTAATTAGTAGGTTTTTACCTTATTAACATGAATATAAATTAGTATTGTTTCTAATATACATTAACATCTTAAATGTGAATTTTAAGGATCTTGAATGAAAATATTATAAAATTTTCTAACCAGAATTTTGATATTTCTATTTTTTTATATCAAAGGGAAGCGTTTGTCACAATTTTCAATTTTTATATTCAATCTTCTTAATTGGTATATAGGTATATGGCCTAAATTCTCTATTTAGAGGGTATAATTTTAAATTGTAGTTTGAATCAAATTGTTTAATATTTTGATATCTTTTATATATGAATTGTCTTTCATAATAAATAGCAGATGAATATTACATAAAGCAAAACTATTAGAAAAATTTTCAACATTGTATTCTAAATTCGAAATAAAAAAATTAATTATAAAGCTGAAGTAAAATAGTAAGAATGATCCTTTTTCAAAGTCCACACATAGTAAATTATCAGTTAAATATTTATATTTACTCCTTATGAACCATTTTGTGTAGTTGGGTTAAAAATTGTATTCACCACAAAGATTTTATCTCAATTTCAAAAAAAAAATGTGAAATTATACAGAATATTATAATCAATAAGAGTTAAAATTATTTTAAAACAAACAATTTAGCAAACAAAAAATACCTAATCAAAAAATCAGAGTTAACTTGAAATTTAGACCACTTCTGAACATAAGTCTATAAAACGTAAACATTTTAAGTGAAGAAATATATACAGTTGATAAGTTTTAAACTCATTCAATTTTTCAGGTCAACATCATTTTTTCATCTAAAATACACTATTTTAATTCAAAGTGATATAATCAATAAGAATTAGAGTTGATGCAACATATGCAATAGGACAAGAAATTCCTTTTTGCTATCATAATAAGACTTTGCACTTTCTTGAAATTAAAAGGCTCAATATACAACTCAGAATTTTCAATATTCAAAATATAGCTTTCCAATTATAATACAGTCATATTTATGCCCTTTTTTTTGAAAACTTATTCTTTACTACTAAAATTCTAATTTTTTGAATCTTCATAAAATAGACATCATCCAAATACATTAATTTATTTCTGATATCTTATTTAAATGCAATATTCTCAATTTTACTTATTTTAAGGATATTTATTTTTAAAATAGCTCACTAATTTAAGGTTTGTTTACTGCTATCCTAAGTAAATTCAATATTCTCAATTCACTTGATTTACTGATAATTAATGTAAAAATTTCT